AAGCGCTGGGAGTTAAACAGTGTACATGCAAGTTCTGATGCATCAGAACTTGCAGTGCCAAGGGGTTTGGAACCCCCCGGCACTCGGGCTGTTGGAAAAGAGCCCGAGGACCCGTTTGAAAAAGCATAAACGGCTTAGACTCAAAAATCTAGCGCATCAAAACTTGCAGGGGCCCAAAATCTAGTGCATCAGAACTTGCAGGAACCCAGTGCATCAGAACGCACAGGGGCCATTTGGCAGACAGGGAGCAACACCAAAAACCAGGCTTGCAGAAAGCGCTCAAACAAAACTCCCACAAAATAGGATTTTTCGGCTGACCGGACCCGCGCATCAGCCGGGACAAGGTTCCCCCCACCCCTCCCCGGCTCCCCATTTTCAAGTCCCAAGCCGGGGGGTTCCAAACCCTCTGGCACTCAGGACTTGAAAATGGGGGGGTAATCCCTGGCACTGGATGCATCAGAACTTGCAGTGCCAGGGGGTACGGAATTTCTGGCACTGCGGCTCAAAAATCGTGCTGCTATTTGTTTTGGCAATTAAGCCCCAAGCCAAAACTACTACATCTTGTTGTCTGTTGTCTGGTGTGCTCATGTGTTCTGTCTGCCCGTCAAGCCGTTTCACGCTTCGTCCCGCAGCCAGCTTTCCTCCAGTTGCTTCTTCAGCCCGCAGAAAGTCCGTGAAGCATGGGGAAGACATCCTTGAGGGTGAAGAAAATTGGCATCAAGAAGCCTCCTCGCGTGGAGAACGTGGAGTGACATTGCCAGCGCAAGTGGCCAATCATGCTTGGGAGCGACTGCAGCGGCATGGGAACTGATGTTGTGGCAGCGAAGCAACTGGGGATTGAGTTCATGGTTCAGTTTGCCACCGATGTGGACCCAGATTGCTGAAGGTGATTCTTTCCCACATAAAGGGACCAAGGAGTCTTGGATATGCTCTTGGAAATGTTTGCGAGAAGTGTGACTTGTACACAGCTGGGTTTCCGTGCCAACCATACAGCAGACTGCCAGAACAAGTAGCTGTTTTCCACCGAGTTTGGGTTACTTTCTGTTTTTTTGCACATAGGTCTTTGCTTAGTCTGCTCCTTCCGAGGTACGGCGGGCGTCGGGCAGGGGAAATGCGACCAACGTGATTTATCAAAGGCTGTGGTGGACTACATCTGCCGCATGCAACCGCGTGGATTTGTGCTGGAGAATGTGACGGGCATCCGGAATAAGAAGCACAGGAAGCACTTCAACAAACTTCTGCAGCAGCTCAAGGAATGTCGGCTTCCTGGGTCGCAGAAGCGGGCCTATGCTGTGAGCTGGCAAATGGTGAACAGCCGCAGTTTCGGGTTTCCGCAGAACCGGAAGAGGATCTACATCATGGGCGCCAGGAGGTCCACGCGCAAGGGTGTGAAAACCAGAAAACCAAATATGGTCCACTTGCTGCCTGAAAGCAAGTTCGCTTGCCTGGACGACTTCTTGGAGAAGGGGCTTCCCAAGGTGGACATCAAGAAGCTTTGCAAAACCAAGCGGAACAACATTTTGGCAGGAAGGAAGAAGCTCAAGGCGAAGGATCTGGACAGGGACATCATCGACGCAGGAGCCGGGAAAAACTTCCGGCAGGTCACCTCGGGCTATGTTCCCACAATCACATGTGCACGAGCCTCCGGCGACAACTTCTGGCTCGACAACGATTCTTGTTCAAACCAGATTTAGCGAAGAATTCCTGCAGGGGCAGGTTTGGCTCCGCCACAAAGAGAGCTCTCAAGCCGAGCAATCGCGTCAGCAGGATGAGGACAGCGCTCCCACAGTACGTTTTGCCAGTACCAAAGAGCCCCTGTGTGGCAAAGGTGATGCGCTGGGATGGAAAATGCCACACAGAGCACTGATGAAGTGGCCGTCCGGCCCAACACTAAGGCGCAGCACGCTGAGTAGAAATGTGGGGCCGCGCTGCAAAAGGCGGCACCAACCATCGGCGTTGTCACCCTGCCACGAGGCCTCCAGGAGCGTACGATCCAGCGACAATTCAGCCCACTCAGCCGGCTCAGGCGGGTGCTGAACCAAGTGCGAAAAGCACCGCCACTCGACTCCCTGCGGGCTGCGCAAGGCGACTGCTAGCAGGTTGAAAGACTGTTCAAGGCGCCGAGCGTGGCCCAGGAATTCGCCCCGCGGGGGCAGGCGGCCACGAGAGGCATCCCCCGTGAGCACGGCGCCATGAACCGGCGGACCTGTTTGTTCCTCATGACTTCACTGAGCAGCTCACCGGGACCAGCAGTGCCAACGGCCTCTCCAGTCACGGGGTCCCAGGGCTCAATCTTGTCGCGTGTCTCGCCCACTGCCTACTTCATGAGTGTGGCTGTTTGGTACCCGCACCTGTTGCGCCTGGACGAGACTGGCCGTTTGGTTGTGGGGCGCATGGTTGTGGCCACTTGCACTTGCTCTGTGGGGGGGACGCCTTGCGCGGTCTCAGGCCTTTGGGCTGTGGAGTGGCATCCCAGGCTGCTGTATGCCCGTGGCAAAGAGGTCGCCCTTGGCCTTAGGCTATTGACCTGCTTGTTGACACCCTGTCTGCAACTTACCATGGCTCTTTTAGCCGGGCATCCCAAGCCCCCAAACTCCTTCTCATGACTCCGCGCAACGACACTCGGAGGGCGCGTCCCAGAGAATTGGCCCACGGTGCTATCCTCCTGGCACAGATGCCAGTCGAGGTGCGGGCCCAATGCCGCCAAGGACAAGGCCAAGGCCACGGCCGAGGCCATCGATGAACGCTTTGACAGGTGTCTGGAGCAATTGCTGACGCCAGGGCGCGGCTCCTACCACTGATCAACCCTGCCAAAGTAGTCAAGGCCACGGGCATGACAGGCACTGTGTCTATTGTTGTCAAGGTTCCTGTATTTTGGGGCTGAGGCTGAGGCGTGCCAAAGCGATCACAGTGGTAGTGGCCCCCCCAGCTCCCGTCGCAGGTGCCTTGGATGAGTTCGCCTGGGATCTTGCCCGGATCCCGGATAGGGTGCAGGCTAAAGAGGTCCTCACCCTGCCTCAACTTGGCCTCTTCGCCCAGCTTCCCACTAGCTACCCTTGGGGCGACGTTATGTTCAACACCAGCCCGGCCACTGAGGCCGGATTGCACGCAGTGCGGAATACTCTTGCCCTGCGGCGCATGGCAGCCGACGCGCCTCCGCTTGGTGCGGATGAAAAGCTCCGCTTCCTTCGAGCATGGCTTAGGCAGGGCCGGTCCGGGTGACTGGCCCTTGCACCGCCTCAAAGTGCATATCCCGGTTGCTGCCATGGCCTACCTTTGCGCAAATGCGCCGGCCTCCGCGCAGGGCGGTGGGATCGCGCTAAAAGGTGATGTGCAAACTGTGCGTGGGATGAGATTCGTCAACGCGGGTGGCCTTCGGTCTCCGTATGAACCGCCCTGCTTTACGGAGGTTGAACCGTTTCGACTCCAGCTCCTCCAGCAGCTCCAAAACCAGCAAGGTCTGCAACATGATGTCCAGGAGTACTGCGGCCTGATTGGGCCAATGGCGGCTGGGTCGGTACGCGCTGATCTTTGGCTTCCCCTTCCGGCCGAAGGGCAGGCCTTTGCTGACTTCGCAAGGGAGTCCAGCGTGTCATCCCAGCGTTGGATGTCGGCGGTGCTTGCCACCCGTCCCCCGACCGGCGTGGGCACGCCTGCCACGCCTTGCGCGCACTGCACGCACTTGCAAGGACACGCGTTGTCTTGCCTTTTAAGTTTCACGGGGGGTCAACGCACCTCCTGCTCCAGGCGCATCCGTGCCCTGGAAGCAGTGCTACTTTCAGCAATCCCGGTTAAAAGAACTGCGGCCGCTTCGGACTTGCTTTGTTCTTTTGGGTGGTCTGGTTTGGGTTCAAGATAGGAGCAGTGCAACATTCCTTAACTTACAAGTTTTCGTGCTAAGTCTGAACATGTGTTTTATGTGCAAAATTGTCAGAAGAAAGGCCGCAACTTGGTTTTTCAAAGATGACAGTTGCCGTGCTCTGTGTCAAACTCCGTTTCGCTTGTTTTTGTTTGTTTGTGTTTTAGGCCTGTTGATCAATTACGGACACGCCGTCCTCGGCGTGGGACGCATGCCGCGCCACGCACTAGCCCCCTGTGACTAGGTGCGCAGCGTGCCCTAGTGACAGTGCTCCTTTCCAGCAACCGGTAAAAAGATGTGCGCCTTTGTCGTGCGGTCCTGCTGGAGGGTTGTTGGGTTCAAGCTAGGAGCAGTGCAACAAGTCTTTAACGCGCTTGGTGCTTCACGCCGCGGACCTTGCCCAAAACGGCAGGAGTCCTTTTTGCCTATTTCGAAAACGTTTGGTAATGTTGTGTCCCAAATTCATGACACACACATTGCGAGAAAGCGAATGTTGTTGTGAGACAGGCGGCTTGTGCATGCACAACTTGATGAGCATTGCGAACGCATGTGTTAAAGCTTATCTAATTTTATTTTTGCACATACACATAACAAAGCACTGCATTCTTGACTTTTAGTTTTCATGCGAAGGACAAGTCACGCTGGGGAGAACCATTTGTAGAAATACGCGTGGCCCGTATATTGGTCAGAGTTTTGAGTGTGAGCTCAGTAAGCTTCAGGGGAAGCTTTTTTTGGACCATCACATAGACGGTTTGATGCGTTAAACCAGGCTGACATGCATCGTTGGCAGGTAGAACGGTAGAACTGTTAGTTTTCCATCCCGTGATTGTGGGGGGCGTGTTTGAGGAGTCCATGTATCGCGTCCATCATTTTCGCTCACAGGGCTTTTGCTTTCCGCTGTGCAGCTTTTTAGGATCATTTGTAATCTTGCACCTTGTCACATGTTTGCAGAAATGGTCAAAATATGTGGAGCAAACTGCAAAGTACACGCACGATCGGACACGTACATATATTTAGAAGCGGACGACTTGCACTTTAGTTTGTTGGCAGACGCAGGCCCGGCACTTGCAGTTGTCATTGTTTGTGCATTGGACCAGAAAAAATAACACAACTACCCAAAAACACGCAGTGCTGCATTTTGCTTGCTTGCACCTTGGCGTTTTTCTTTCGCCTGGCCTGGCGCGATGGCAAGGCAATCAGGGCGTCATGTCGGTGGGATCAATGGCGCTTTATTACAGAAAGGCTGGCAGAAGATTGAGCAACCTCGCGGCGACAATGTTGCTTGCAGGAAAAAGAGCTTGCATGATCCTCTACCCACACAGGCGCCTGGCTGTTGTCCTTGCTGGCTGCTGCGCCTTTACATTGATTGGGACCATGTGCGCATACGGCGGCGAACGCTTTGAGATTCACCTGGCGCATAGCAAAACCATTTACTTTGTTGTCGAAGCCGGGTGGGGCAGCTCTATAATACGAGGAGAGATGGTCGCCGAAACAATGAAGATCTATTGCAAGAACAACTCTCTGCCTTGGCATGTGGAGATCTTGACCCTGAATGGCCGGGACCAGTGGTCTGTTTTGCCGTCCTTGCCGCACAGGCCAAAACCAGATGCTTGCATTATGGTGAAACAGCCTCGTTTGTATTGGGACACGGTGTTGGACTGGTGCAGGACACATGGCGCCGTGCGCTTTGTGGATGTTTTGGACCAAATTCCTTTGCTGGAACGAGTCACGCTGGGCCGCAACATGGACTATGACTTCGATGGCTACATAATGCAGTCCCTTGACTTGATGACGCAGGTGAACGCCTACAGTCCTGAGATTCTAACATTGACCTTGTACAATCATCACACGAACTCCGGCTTTGTGAGTGACGAGTCCATGCTTGAAGAAGTCGACACGGTGGGGCTTTATTCACCTGGCTTGCATTTCCCTCCTGAAAGTATTCTGAAAAGGCTGGCTGCGGCCGTGTGTTCGAGTGAAGCTAAGCTTTTCTTGGTGTTTGGGCACCAAAACGACACGCACGCGTCATTCACATGCAACCAGACAACTCAAAGGCGGCTGCAGGTGAACAACACACCCTCCTTGGACAAGTATTTGGCTGAGCAAGTCCAATATCACGACTCCAGCAATCTGCTGAGCTCGGTAAATCTGGGGCTTTTGTGGCCACCGGATTACAGCGTGACCACCTTGCAGCGGCCTCCTACAAGGCTTTTGCACTGGATGTCGCATGGCCTCCCTGTGGCCTTCTTCCCGTACAAGGCTTATTTGGAGCCGCTCGCCTGAACATTCTAGGAAGCCGTTTGTTTGCTTCTGATTTTGTTTGGGGAATCATGGTGGTGGTGCTGCTTCCCCGCTGAAAGTGGCGTAATGAATTCACGAGCTGGGTGAAACTGTAGCAAGAGGCTGTTCATCTTTTCTCTCTTCCCGTTCCTTCCCGTTTCTGGTTGTACATAGAAAAGGAAAGGTAAGGGTTTCCATGTAGCATTTCACAGAAATCGTTGCGCCCAAAGTCAGGGACTTTGTGGCACAAGGAACCAAAAGAGAGCTGCGAGCGCTTCTGTGTTTCGGTGCCTTTAGAGTGGGCAGGTTGGACTTGTGCAAAAGGGCACAGGACTTCCAATTGCAAATAGCCTGTCTTTTACGGCTACCCTTCAGGTTAAAGGACAGGCATGGGATCCCACGTCGCCCAGGGTGGCCCGCGACGGCGGGTACTTTCTGGACGACGGCACGCTGCCGTCCGCGAGCTCGCCGCAGGAGCTGCAGCGCTTGCTGCACAAACTCTGCGCGAAGACAGAGGAAGGCCGGCACCTGCGGCGCCGGCTCCGGTCAAAAGGCCAGGTCCTTTTTGTTTCTTGTTTTGCTCGTGTTCCTTTTAGGAGGGGGGGGAGTTTGGGGGTTTGGAAGGAGGAACAGTTTGCCCTTCGGGGTATTTTCCTGCAGGGTTTTGACATTGCAAGCCATCGGCCAACCGCCCTGACCAGGTCTTGAAATTGCCAGCAACCACACGTTGGAAAAGCAGACAGAGCGCCTCGTGCACTACATGCAACACATTTTCCGATCTGTGGCACGCGGCGATACACCGAAAAGGGTTGGCATTATGACCCGTTTTCTTCGCAGACTGATCGCCGGTCTCCGACGCTAAGATGTTTGTCAGTTGGGCTCGACATGGCCTGAGTGAGATGTGCCCCCAGCATTGCAGGCCGAGGATTTCCTGCACCAGAATCCGCGGAAAGTGCAAAACATGGCATAGTGCCGGATGCTGGAGTGCGTGGGAGAGGGCGGAAGTGTTACAATGCTTTCGAGGTGCAGGGGGTTCCCCTTGGATGAACAGGTTTGGGCTAAAAACAAGGTCTTGAGGTTGGGGCCCCTTTTAAAACAGCGGTAAACCCGAAACAACACATTTTCAACAAGTCACCTTCTTCCGCGACTAACTCCGGCACCCTTGTACTTGGTTGGGAAGGGGCTTCAAACGGGGTGGACTTGAAGTCTTGGCCAAAGCGCACACCCAGCCAACCCGGCTGACATGTCAGGTCCCTGCTGGATGGGTTTATCAGTTGGGAGTTGAGGGTCCCCAAGTGGATAAAGAAAAGTCTTGGATAAAAATGCCAAGTCGATTTACATCATAGATCCAGAAAACCTAC